ACAAGAGTGAAACTCCGTCTCCAAAAACAAACAAACAAAAAAAAAAAAACGATGAGTTCGTGTCCTTTGTAGGGACATGGATGAACCTGGAAACCATCATTCTCAGCAAACTGACACAAGAACAGAAAATCAAACACCACATGTTCTCACTCATAGGGGGGTGTTGAACAATGAGAACACATGGACACAGGGAAGGGAGCATCACACACTGGGGCCTATGGGGGGGGGAATAGGGGAGAGACAGCAGGGGGTGGGGAGCTGGGGAGATATGGCATGGGGAGAAATGCCAGATATAGGTGATGGGGAGGAAGGCAGCAAATCACACTGCCATGTGCGTACCTATGCAACAACCTTGCATGTTCTTCACATGTGCCTCAAAACCTAAAATGCAAAAAAAAAAAAAAAAGAAAAGAAAAAGTCCCTTTACCTTCCCCCTCTTGCCTTCCTTTTGATGCCTGAGAGGAAGATATGGCAGTAATAACTACAGCAATCACTCTGGGCCCCCTGAGGATGGAAGACCACAAGGGTTGAGCCTCTGCTTGTTAAAGTATCCCAAGCCTAAAAGGGGGCCTGAAAAAAGCAGGCACAAATATTAATTTATTGAATTAATGAACTGCTACAAAAGAGTCAAAGGTAATAAAATATGAAAGCAAAAAAAGTCACTGTTATCAGCTCTATCCCTGACCATTTCTTTCAATATTTTCTAACTCAGTAATGGTTTTTGTATCCATCCAGATGCTTAAGCCAAAAAAAGCCTGGAAACCATTCTAGACTTCTCGATCTTCCAATTCCCCATATGCATAATCACCAAAAGCTGTCAAAATAACCTCTAATTCTGGTTGACTTACCTGATGGCAAAAAATATTTAAAAAAAGAAAATTACCTCTATTATGCCTAGAATATGATTCATCTTTTCCACTCCCATTGCACGAGTTCAAACTTTTTTCATCTCTAACCTAGACTATGACACCCACAGCTAGGTTTTTTGCTCTAGTGAATTTTTAGATAGATATGACAGAGGATGACAGGTAAAAGAATATAAAGCGAAGAATTAGATCCGTGAAGGCTAGAAAAATAAATTTTATCCTCACTATCTTTCTTCCTATTCATATACTTCAAAGTCCAACTCAAATATTATCTCCACTTCTGAAGCCAGTTTCCTCAGGCAAAGTACACATGGTTTTTTTACTCTTTGTACATAACTTGATTAGAGCACTTGAAGCATTTATTCACATACCAGTTGCCTCACTGGACAGGAGTCTAATCTTATTCTAGCACAGGGCTTAGCACCAAAAATATCTATTGAACAGATGAAGGAACATTTTTGTCTAGAATTGGCAGTTATAAAGAATAATATCTAAGAGCCAGATATGATGGTGCATGCCTGTAGTCCCAGCTACTCAGGAGGCTGAGGTGGGAGGATCACTTGAGCCCAGAAGTTCAGCCTAGGCAACATAGTGAAACACTGTCTCAAAGAAAAAACAAAAAAAGAAGAAAATCTAACTTTGAATAAAAGTAGGGATGCCAAAGAGAGAAAAAAATAGAAATTATCTATAGTTACCAAGAAATAGTAGATAAAAATACTAAAATAAAGACCCAAGGTGGGGAAATATAAGGCCAAACACATGAGATATTTCCAGAGAGGTAAGAGTAATGGATAAGAGAGAGTTCCATGAAAATAACAGAGAAATATTAAAAGATCATTTTGAATTTCGCAGAGGAAAGCAGAGGTGGAAGAAGGGGTAACCCAAAATAGCACATAAAAATAAAATATATTCTCTCAGACTATATTGAATTTGAATTGAAACAACTGAATATTGAACAAGAAACAAATTAAGTGGGTTCATAAAATGTTGATGGCATGCAGATTATTTTAATTAAAGAGAAAACACTGTAAACTTACCATTAGTCCCCTCTAATTCCCTCTCCCTGAAAGATACCCAAATGTACCAAATTCAATCATTAGGAAAATGGGCTCAAAGGGAACCTCTCAAAAAACAGCAAAATCACATTAACAGGAGTAAAGTTATTAAAACTAAAACTCCTAACATACTGAACTCAAATGTGCTTTCAAGCTTCCTTACTAACTCTACATTTTAAAGACCTGTGCACTATTTAAAAGAAATGAAGTGCCTAGAAAAGCAGGTACAGTTTTATGCTTGATAGAAAAATATGAAAAATATTCAAAATAATACCTACCTCATTTATATTTCAATGTAAAATCAACTGTTTATTCCCTGTAAAATGGCTTAGTCACTTATACTTTGGCAAGTTCATAACCAACCTAGGTTAACGCTAAGGTAATGGTTCTGTAGCTTTTCTGGGCCAGAGATTCCTCTGAGATGCCAGTGAAAGCTCTGGTACCATCCTATAGAAAAGTACACACATATACAACATATATCTAACAATTTAAATATGTCGCAGTAGTCACACAGCCCCTGCTGTTCTATTTATGACTTCCATGAGATCCAAGGAACCCACTTGTAGAACTGCTGCTTTAATGACTAGAAATAGCAAATACATAAGACTCCTCAAAGGAGATAAACTACTAACCATTCTAGAACTTTTTTCTCGGTCATGTAGGCAACTGAGAAACATTTAATATAAAAATCCCTATTGGCTGAATTTTATCAAGTGATATACATCCAGATTGAGCTAAAATGTATGCACGTGCCTTCAAATAAACTTGAAACTTTAAGTGTTTAAAAATAAGGTACAATATTAATAACAAAAGCTAATATTTGAGCAGTCATTAAATACTGAGCATTGTTCTAAGTGTTTAAATGTATTCATATTTATACATAAATGTCAATAAATTATCCTCATTTCATAAATGAGGAAATTAAGAAACAGAAAGGTGCAAAGAATCAAGGAACGATGACTTGAAACAGAAATAATGAGGTTAAGAAGCAAAAAACTGTTAGTGTATTATAACTAATAGCAACTTAGGACTGCACTTGTATTACCACAGTTCTACAAAGCAAGAACATACTGTCCAAGTCCCAGAATAAAGAAGGCAATCTTAATTCTCTTCCATATCCCTGCCAAGATAATCCTTATAAAACAACATTCCCTTTAGAGTACCCTGTAGCCAGAAACGTGAACATGAAATGTTCAAAGAGATCACAACACTGAAGTATTTTTAAAATGTAAAATGGAAGACGAATTTTGAGGCTAACAAATGTTAGCTTTCTAAAGCACTGTCTTTGTAGAAGTACCAGGAATAAACCATGCTTTAAAAAAATTAGTCAATAAGATATAAAAAATCTGAAATAGGGTACTTTTTTCTACCAAAAAAGTCCAAGTTTCTCTAACTCAAACTTTGATCAAGGCTATGCCTTCTTTTTACTATCTTGGTGCCATGCCTCTTCCATTCTAGGGACAATTGCAAAAGTAGAGAAAATCTCCCAGGTTCAACAGATCTTATTAAATCCCATCAATCAAAAGGTACAGAGTTGTAAAACTTTTTTGTTGGCGGGGAGAGGGTACTGAGTCTCCCTCTTCATCCAGGCTGGAGTGCTGTGGAATGATCTTGACTCACCTCAACCTCTGCCTCCCGGGTTCGAGTGATTTTCCTGCCTCAGCCTCCCAAGCAGCTGGGATTACAGACGCCTGCCACCACACGAGGCTAATGTTTTATTTTTAATAGAGACTGGGTTTCACCATATTGGTCAGGTTGGTCTTGAACCCCTGACCCCAGGTGATCCACACACCTCAGCCTCCCAAAGTGCTGGGATTACAGGCACGAGTCACTACATCCAGCCAAAACTAAAACTCTTAACATACACTCAAATTTGCTTTTAATTTCAGACAAATATCAGGTTCTATAGATAGGCCTATACTATGCCCTGAACAATGCAGCATGCAATAAATATTTGCTGAAGGGTTGAATCTTCTCTAGTGTAAAATGGATGTGTTGAAGATACCATTACTTTAACATTTTACTTTAACATCTACCTCCCATAGTACTATACTACTAATTATTACAGCATCAAAAAACTGCAGTGAAACCAACCTTCTACCTTCAACAATATAAATAAAGTGTTATAATTTGCCATTTTGTTATACTGTTCATCCAAGAAAAAAAAAGAATAATTTTTTAGATCATTTTATGTAGCTATTGGTAATCCAAGATACCACAAAAAAATTTAGGAAGATGTTCCTTTTTTTAACCAATTGTGTTCTTAACATACTATAATTTCTTTAAAATGTTTGATGAAATACAACAAAAGCACAAATATTTTCTTTTATCAATAAGCTTTTTGAACTACGAGAAAATTAGCTCCATTAAACTGAGGTGGCCTGTTGCTTTAATAGTATTCTAAACTCAATGAAGATAAAAATCCCAAAACGAGGAAAATATAGTCATGCTAAATGTGTGCCACAAGAAAGTTCCCTCTGTATTTAATTCACAAGTGGAAACATTTGCTTCTGATTTATTGAACTGTTAAAATATCTCATTGCAAACACATACAATCTTAAACTCTATGTGGAAACTTCTTGCAAGCCAGTATCAATTAAAAGTTAATCTCTATGCAATAAAAGGGGCCTCTTGATATACAAAGCATACAAGATGAAAAATTCAGACTAAAATATTCCCTAATATGAAACAGTATTTTTTTTAACTACAACTTATACTTGCTGAATATCAATTTACTAAAACAAGCAAGGATGACCTTATCTTGGCAAAATTCAGAATACTGTTTCTTCAACATCTTAGAAGGCAGCTTAATGAACTACATTCTTCCATCTGCTTTGTTCTATATATTCATATACCAAATGGAAATTAAACCCTTCTCAAGTAATGGCCAAAATTTCACTAATCACAAGAAAAGACACAGAGCAGAGAAGCGGCACGGTATGAATAACAGAGGCAGACAAAATGAGAGATGGAACAGTCTTGGTAATGACCTTAAAAAAGCAAATGGGAATGTATGTTAAGACAGAAAATCTATACAACATGTACAGGAATCACATTAAATAATTCCATTCCCACTTACCTGAGGAGCTCTCAGTAAATACTGTTAATGTTTGTCCTCCGACACTTTGCAAGACAAATGGATGTTCTCTAGGAGCACTGACTGAAGCCGGTTTTCCGCCAATATCGTGAATACTTGCAAGATCCTCATTCAAAGTAAAAGACACCTAACAGACACATTAACCAGAGATTATAACAGACTTTTATATTCAAAGTATATGTAAAAAATAATTTTAGTTATAAATCAAATTTTTTAAAAAATGTGTTTTCCAGTCATATCATTAAACACTTTAACTTTATTTAAAAAGCCTTAATACTTGGCCAGGCGCGGTGACTCACGCTTGTAATCTCAGCACTTTGGGAGGCCAAGATGGGCAGATCACGAGAGGTCAGGAGTTCGAGACCAGCCTGGCCAACATGGTGAAACCCCGTCTCTACTAAAAACACAAAAGTTAGCCAGGCGTGGTGGCACTTGCCTGTAATCCCAGCTACTTGGGAGGCTGAGGCAGGAGAATTGCTTGAACCTGGGAGGCGGAGGTTGCAGTGATCCGCGATCACGCCATTGCACTCTAGCCTGGGCAACAGAGCGAGACTCCGTCTCAAAAAAAACAAACAAACAAACAATCAAATTCCTTAATACTTGATCATAAAAAGAGAAGGTAAACTGGACACAGTGGTGCACACCTATAATCCCAGCTACTTGGGAGGCTGAGGCAAGACGATTCCTTGGGCCAGGAGTTACAGGCTATAGCTCACAATGAATAGCCATTGCACTCCAGCCTTGGCAACACAGCAAGACCTTGTCTCTTAAAAAAAAACAAAAGAGGGACAATCTATTCCTGTTTGTCAGAATAATAGGGCTATTAAAAAAAAAAAAAAACACCAAAATCACATCCTTTGCAGCAACGATGCAGCTGGAAGCCATTATCCTATGTGAATTAGTACAGAAACAGAAAACCAAATACCACATGTTCTTACTTACAAGTGGAAGCTAAACATTGGGTATACACAGACCTAAAGATGGAAACAACAGACATTGGGAACTCCAAAAAGAAAGGAAGAGAGGGGACAAAGGGTTGAAAAACTACCTGTTGGTTACCATGTTCATTATTTGGGTGACAGAATAAATATGCCCAAATCTCAGCATCATGCAATACACCCATGTAACAAACCCACACATGTACCCCTGAAATAAAATAAAAATTACAGGCCGGGCGCGGTGGCTCAAGCCTGTAATCCCAGCACTTTGGGAGGCCGAGGCGGGTGGATCACGAGGTCAAGAGATCGAGACCATCCTGGTCAACATGGTGAAACCCCGTCTCTACTAAAAATACAAAAAATTAGCTGGGCATGGTGGTGCGTGCCTGTAATCCCAGCTACTCAGGAGGCTGAGGCAGGAGAATTGCCTGAACCCAGGAGGCGGAGGTTGCGGTGAGCCGAGATCGCGCCATTGCACTCCAGCCTGGGTAACAAGAGTGAAACTCCGTCTCAAAAAAAAAAAAAAAAATTACTAAAAATAATACAGAAATAAAAAACAAAAACAAAAACAAAAAGAATAATGGGGCTAATCTACCATTATGAAAAAAGACAGATTTCATGTTTTCTCTGGTCTGTGGCTGAAGAACTCTTTCCAAAACAGGAGTAAGGTTATTTTTTTCCAGCTAGGTTAGGTGGCAATTATTTTTTCCAACTAGGCGAGGTGGCTCACACCTATAATCCCTGCACCTTGGGAGGCTGAGGCCAGTGGATCACTTGAGGTCAGGAGTTTGAGACCAGCCTGGCCAACGTGGCAAAACCCTGTCTCTATGAAGAATACAAAAATCAGGCAGGCATGACAGAACAAGACTCCATCTCAAAAAAAAAAAAAAAGATGATTTTTTTTCCTAAAATCTCTGAGGTCTGAGGTCAAGGGATTATGTCTTACTATCTTTGGATCCTTACGATCTAACAGAGGGCATGACACATAGGAGGAAAATAATATTGCTGAATGAGTGAGTATTTTAATAATATTAAGAAAGCAATTGTACTTAACGTTGAGGGGTGGAGTTAACTATTTACTCTGAAAAGCTTAAACACTCCTATAAACAGAGGATATATTTATTTTATAGGTCTTAATGACACCCATATGAGTACATGGTATTATTTTTGAATGTTTTAACAAATACAACTAAACAGTTAGAAGGATAGCTCAATAATAAAGTTTGGAATAAAAAGACATACTAAGTGTTCTTTCAAAATGCTTTTTATTATATACCAGATCTCCCCAAAAGAACAACACATTTTTACACTAAGCAGACTCATAAACAAAATTACTCATCTCCCAAGCATGCAGGAAGATGATAAAGTATTTATTAAATATCTCTCTAATATATGATAAGTACTATAAATCACAAACTGGATTCAACGGGTCAAAATCTAAAATTCTCAAAAATCCACATCAAATGCCTCTGTCACACTGAAGTAATACTAATATATTAGCAGAGTATTAAAGATATTTTCATGGTACCAAGAGAGGGAAAATGTAGGTCAAAGAAGTAAAATTCTGAGAATGAACAACTAGAAAAGAGTCCATTCATTCACACAAGAGTGGCATTTATACCTTTATATGTTCCTAACCATCACCTGATGTAGAGTTTTCCAAAATTCAAATGCTCTTTTTTCACTGTTATTAATGAAAAGATAGTCTTATGTTTTAACTAAAATTTCCATGTAAATAATCTTACCTCAGTCCTTCCTTGATTCCTAGAGAAGAGGAAAAAAAAAAAATTTAATTATTTAGATTTCAAGTTGTTTTCAAAGGTGAGTTAAAAGGTTTTTAAAAAAATCATATTTACATAAAACATTACATTTACAGAGATAAACAAATATTTACCTTTGGCTCCCCATAACCATCCTATTTATAATCTTATAGGAAAAATAAACTCACACATCATTATTTTGTATATTATGAGTTTATGTCACTTAACACTATTATAATCTCTGCTAGTTCCATTTTGTCCAAATAATGATCTTATTACAATTCTTTCTTTTTTTCTTTTACTCTTTCTTTCCTTTTTTTTTTTGAGACAGGATCTCCCTCTATCATCCAGGCTAAAGTACAGTGGCATGATCATGGCTCACTGCAGTCTTGACTTCCCAGGATCAACCAATTCTCTCACCTCAGGCTCCTAAGTAGCTGGGCCTATAGGTACGTGCTATCACACCCAGCTGACTTTTGTAATGTTTTGTAGAAACAAGGTCTCACCATGTTGTCCCGGCTGGTCTTGAACTGCTGGCTCCAATCCACCTGCCTCAGCCTCCCAAAGTGCTGGGATTACAGGTGTAAGCCACTGTGCCTAGCCTTATTACAATTCTTATCTTTATTTCTAAGCATTTTTGGCATTCGGCAGCATGTTAATACCTGTTTAATACCAGATCTACATAATACTTCATCAAATGTTACTATTCATTTTATCTAGCTGAAAAGGTTTCATTTACTAACAAAATTTTAAACATCAAGTAATTGATGTTTAAATTATGAGCAATTAATTTAAATTACGAGCATTTTTCTCCATTATAAAACAATATATGCCCCTTATATAAATATTTTTAAAACAGACACACAAAAAATAAGTTTTAAAATAGCCATAATTCCACTGTTAACATCTTGGTACAGTATCTTTCCACACTATTTTCTATATACTGTATTTGAATTACTTTAAAAAATGTCAATTTTAAATTTTTTTACAAATACGAAATCAATATAAATCCTATATAAGAACTTAATTTTTAAAAACCATGTACTAAATACCTCCTATATGCAAAGTATTGAGTTTAAGGTCCCTGCCCCAGCCAGCAGAAGACAAAATAAGCATATCCATAAACTATAAAATGAGATAAATTTTAATATTCGATTAAGGGAGCCACAATGCACCAGGATCAGACAGGAAGACACCATTTCTTCCATTTTAAGAGTTAAGGAATGGTCAAACAAACAGGGAACTCTGAGCTGAGCTTTAAAGAGTACTAAGATTGCAATAAGTTGAAGTGGGGAAATACAATATCAGAAGTGAGAGTTGAACAAAAGTCACAAAAGGGTCTGATCACAAATGAGTGATCAGATTTGGCTAGAAGGGAAAGGCAAAATAAGGAAGGGTGGGAGATGAACTCTAAAGCAGAAGTGGAGCTCAACCATGGAACCTCTTAAATATCACAGTACGAAGTACAGACTTTATTCTTTGGGCAATGGAGAGCTGCAAGATATTGCTTGAATAAAAGAATAACAAGTACAAAAATTTCCTACAGGAAACTTGTACTAGAAAATATATACAGAATAGACTAAAGGTGACTAGAGATAGGAAGACAAATTAGAAAACCACTGTTTCTCCATAACATTCAGTTTATTTCCAACCTGCCTTCATTCACTTGCTCAGTTAATCACTCATTCTATTATGAGGAGTCTACTATATATCCACTATGCATTGTGCTAGGTACATGGTACAGTATTAAGTGTGGGTTCCTGACCTCAAGGAAGTCCCAGTTTAATGAAAACGGACAAGTCCAATCCATGAACAACTACAAATAAGACAGTTATATCTTGCCATAACAACAAAAACTTTATGGCAAAGGTATACACCATAAATGTACCTGTTATGGAAATGCAAACTAAAAAGCCAGGAAAGTGAGTGAGGGATGAAGCTGAAAACATGGGGAAATTCCAGGCTAAGGGAATAGCCCTAGTGAAAAAAGAAAATATCTAGCACATTCTTCTGACACTAGTGAATGGCAGCCTGGAGTCAAATGGTAGAGTCATGTAGGACAAAGGAGTCCAGATTTTTCCACAGATTTGTTTATGTAGGACTTCTCAGTCTTTTACACATTAAAATGCAATGTCAGACTCCTTTTTGTTGATGAAGTATCTTAAAAAGGTGAGAAAATTTTAAGATTTCACATAAAAATATGAGTTTCCAGCTTCTCTTACAAGAAGTAAAGATATGGCAAAGATTGGCCCCCAATTCAGCATGACAACAATACCCTCAACATGCATTTTGGGGCAGGCACTAAATTCACCACAGTCCCTTCTCTAACACTCCTGAATTTAGCTTTTAGAGCTCAATTGAACATAACTACCTTTAGTTTAGCTACCTATAAGGCAGAGGTGCTATAGACAAGCAGAGGAAAAAATGCAGAAGACACATCCATAATGTTTACAGAATTCAACTGAGGCTAATGCAAATACCCACACAGAAAATAAAGAAAGCCTGAAGCGGCTGGTGGTAGAATGCAAGGAAGAGATCAACAGCAGGTCATTAAATTGTTAGAACTAAGAGAAGAGGAAATGACTGGAAGTGGGCACCACAGGAAAAAAGATGAATTAAAAATCATGTTGACATTTTCAGCTTGGTAACTAGATGCAATTAGGGAGCATAGGAGGAGAGGACAACTTCATTTTCACACATATATAATCATAACAGCGTCTTCACAACTATGATATACCCTTTGTATGATGGCCTGTGCACAAAATTTTAAATGCTAATTATTGTACAATACAGTGCTATCTTCAGAAATTAATGAAGCAAACATCTGGCCATCCTTTCACTAAATTTCTCACAATGCGGGGCATTTTCTCCTTTACTACTCTGAGTCCATTTCTCAATACCCACAGCTACTTTTTTAGACTCTGATCTCGTTCCTTTTGCCTTTCTTAATTTGTATTAATCATGTCTTTCCTTTTTCTTACACTTTTAAAATACCAATGGGGCCTGACTTTTCACTATCACTAACAGCCAATAAGTAACACCTTTTCCAGGTTAAGAAAACTAATCAGATAATATCAATATTCAACTGTGCTCATGGCTCCTGTTTTTGTTTTTGTTTTTTAAAGACAGGGTTTCACCATGTTGGCCATGCTGGTCTTGAACTCCTGACTTCAGGTGATCCGCCTGCCTCAGCCTCCCAAAGTGCTGAGATTACAGGCATGAGCCACCATGCCTGGCCTCTTGTTTTTGTTTTATTTTTGTGACAGGGTCTTGCCCTGTCACCCAGGCTGGAGTATAGTGGTGTGATGATGGCTCACTGCAGCCTTGACCTTTTGGGCTGAAGTGATCCTCCCATCTCAGTCTCTGGAGTAGCTGCGACCACAGGTGCACATTACCACATCTAGCTAACATCTGTTTTTATTTTTGTAGAGACAGGGTCTCGCTATTTTGCACCAGCTGGTAGAACTCCTGGACTCAAGTGATCCTTCTGCCTCAGCCTCCCAAAGTGCTGGGATTACAGATATAAGCCACTGCACCAGGCCTTGTTTTGTTTTTAATTCCTATTTATACTTCCCCTAACTGAAAAATTGAGCTCAAAACCACTAGGTGCAGCCAAACAAGGTAGGCATCTTTTTCAGAGTGGGTTGGGTAAGATGGTCATAGTCCAAATGGGGTGAAGAGGATGTCAACTGGGGTGAAGCAGGCAAGCCGGGGTGAGGTATCAGAGACCAATCAGGTAAGGAGGGCATTGCTATAAACGAGTGGCTCAGTAAGAAATGGTCAGAGCCTAGCAAGCGAGAGCAACCACATATAGGAGGACAACCTGAAACAGGATGCTGGAGCCTCAGCGGAGTAAGGAGGCATGCCTATGGAGGAGTGGAGAAGGCTCAGAACAGAAAGGAAGCCTGAACAGGGTGAGGAGGGTATCCCAGTGGAGGACAGCGAAAGCGGCAGCACACTGATGGGAGCTACAGCCCAAGCAGGGTGAGTAGGGTATTCGCATATGGAGCAGGGAACAGACTGAACAAGTAAGTAAATACATTAAGGACAACAGGAACCAGGTTTCTCACTTTTGGAAAAGAGGTACAAGTAAGAAAAGGAAGAAAACCAGAACTAAGTATGTGGTATTATATTGGAACTGGATATGTTAGTGCAAATTTGTGATTTCAATATATGTAAGTATAGAAATGCAGATGTAAAAAGGGATGAGGGTGTGTGTGTGTGTGTGTGTGTGTGTGTGTGTGTGTACACATATGCTCCCTAGTTCTATTCACTGAGAAGGCCTGGAAGCAGCAATAAGCATTTGGGGCACCCAGATCTCAGTTTCTAAATATCATTCTCCCCTAAAAGGAACCATGGCCAACTCCTTGGAAAAATGGCTAAGTCCAGGGCTTAGGCAGAAATGTACAAGATGAGTCTAAAACATCTCTCTATGTCAAAAAATAAGAGGTGCTCAAAGAATGATGAAGACATGTCAAAAGGACATGAATATTTCATCATTAATTTATCCTTACATATTAATCTTTCCATCACTTACCTATTACTTCCATGGAATAAGTTCCTAGCAGTTGATGGAATTAAAAACAAAGAAACAAAAAGAAATTTATGGAATTGCTGGGTGAAAGCCATGAATATTTTGTGATTAATTTTTCTAGCTTTCTCATTATCCCAGGCCCACTCTACTGGATGAGCTTATTGTCTGTCTCTCCAGATAATGGCAGCATCAAGGACTGAACGAAATGCCTGAGCTGTGAGGTTAGTGGCAGAGAAAATAGTGGGATTCATTCTACGTTGTTTTGAGTAGGAATATGTGTGCATGTTATTTAAGTTACACACACACACACACACACACACACACACACACACACACACACGTTGCCAGACTGCCTTTCAGAAAGTTTGTACCAAACTAAACTCCCATCATATCATCAGTATAACACTGTTCTAAACTAAGTCAATTTTATAACAGAAAAATTGTCTCATTAATTTTTCATTTCCATTCTT